ATTTAATTTAACCATTAAAACCGAGTCAAAAAAAAATGGAATCCAGAAAAATAAAAGAAGGGGGGAAAAACCCCCACGGAATTTGGAAGAAATAAAAAATAAAATGGAATTTGGGAAATAATAAAACAGATTTCATAGGGCCCTAAAAACAACTCCAAGAAATAGAAAAGATGAGAATATTGCTTGTAGGTAGAGTTTCCTTCCACATTTATCATCAAGAGCTTCCTTTGGCCCAGTCTTGAACGGCTCAACCTGGTCCAGATGATTGTACATGAATGAGAGCAAACTCTGCTGCAACAGGAGAATGAATGGCCGGGGTTCGCCACAGGGCACAGAAAGGGCACAGCTGCGGGATAATTCATAATCTCATCTAAAACTAATTTACATACATCATTCAGTCCGCTTACACAACCCAACACCACAAGTTAATTTCTCCAGTGTCCCAAAGCATTATTATGTTTTAATTGCTTGGCTATATTTTTGCATGAGACCATATATACAGGTATGAGTGAGCTTTCGCCGCTAGTACAAATACACGAACCCAACGGGATCAAGGATTAAACACGACCTTGTGAATTACATACCCATCGGGTCGATAATGTGAGTGTAATACATATTAGATATTAGGGCCTTTTGTTCTTGGTATATATTGGCGTCCCTCAGGGCGTTCGACTCGTCGATTCGGTATGTTATTGATCTGTAAACAAACTCGCGGTTTCCATGCTTGCGAAGAGAGTAACGTTTTAATCTGCATCTGCGTTGTCGTCTTTTTCTCGCTCACTGCTGCTGGATTCATACAGACTGATGTTTTCTTTATCTCACTCTCTCTCTCCCTCTGTTTCTTGATTGTGCTCCATGTGGAGTTATAATTCATAATGATATTCTAATCTTATTGGATTGTTTGCATGGGTAAATATTTATTAGCGGTTGATCTAACTCAATGTAATGATGCGTTGATGGAGTCATTTATTATTCAGTCAGACAGAGGGAGTCGCGTGATTAGCCGCGTGTCACCTCTTCACTCGTCTGCTCGTTCGTTTGGAGGCGGGGGGGCGCTACATTTGCATAAAAATAGATGGGCGTCCCTACAGTGAGGCGCTGTTTGCTCTCTAGATGCAGAGATCGATCTAATGAAGAGTTTATTGAGACGGAAATAACTCACTCTGATGGTTCTTATGTTAAAGGAGTAAACAGCTGCGTACGCGAGTGCCAAGCTTGTGTTCCTCTGCTGTTTCGTGGTCTTGCGTTGGGTTTAAGTTTCTGGGTCAAACTATCTATATGCAAAATAGCAGCCAGTAACCTTCAGTCCCGATGTGCTTGTTGGTTGTTTATAGGAATAGTTCACCAAAAAAAATGAATATTCTGGCATTGTTTACTCATGTTCATGTTTGTTTACTCATGTTCATGTTGTTTTAAACTCTATTCCATATAATGGAATATAAATGGTGACTGGAGCTTCCAATCTTCAAAACTGACAAAAAGCATAAGATTGGTGCACCGTATTTTAAGTCATTGCAAGTGCACTGTGTTTTAAAGTCATAGGATTGTTTTATGTGTGGAACAGACTGAAATTTTAATTATTATTTGCTGAAAATCTTCTGCTTTTGCCATAGTTTTCTGTCTTGCTTGTATCATTTCATGTTTGCTATTTCAAGATGCATCACAATGATGAATAAATAAAGTTTCGGTTTGTTCCCCAGACAAAATTCAAAGGTTTGGGGTCAGATTTTATTTTTTAATTTTATTAAATTAAATTTTATTTTATTTTATTTTATTTTATTTCAACAAGGATGGTTAAAAGTGACAGCAAAGTATATGATAGTATATGATGAGTAGTGATGCTGAAAATTCAGCGTTGATCATAGGAATAAATTACATTTTTCAGTATAGTTATTTTAAATTGTAAAAATATTTCAGAATATTTATTTTTTTACTGTAAATAAATTCAGCCTTGGTGAGCAGAAAATGCTTCTTTCTAAAACATCTCTCTAAAACAAATTTTTGGGCTGGGCTGTCTAAGTTATATACAGCATATGTACTAATTTCACAATATTTTATGTAGTTTTTTGAGTGAATAAGGAATGTAAATAAATAATTAATCAATAATAACAATAATTTTGGGTGAACTATTCCTTTTAAAAAAATCACCTTATTCTATAAATAAAGAGTGTTTGTTTCTAATATGCATCAGTTACTTCTAAACCACTCCATCACATACATCATCACTTCATTGATTGATTGATTTAGACTAATCCAGGTTTTTTAGTGATTTCTGTGTCTTGTAGGTCTGATGGACTGTATTTTTTGTCCTCCATGTGGCACACTTATGAAAACAGATCCCGCTTCCTGCCTCTAATCCGTTTCACTGCTTCCTCCCCAAGGCTTTGCGATTATGGAAATGGCAGATAATGTGAATTAACCTTGTTTCCAACTGTACTAGTGCAATTAGCCAGCGATTAAGCAAGCCAACCTTTTGACCTCTGCATGTGCTCTGCTTTTAACAACCCCAGTACTTAGGATGAGCCTGTTCAGTAATTGACAACGAGATACATCCTTACTGAGACGTGTGTGTGTGTGTGTGTGTGTGTGTGTGTCCCCTCAGGGCCCAGAATTTGTTCAGACAGGCTATGCGTTCTCCACTCATCCTGTTCCATGTGGTTCCAGCGGTGAAGAAAGCTCAATACGAGCTGCTGTCTCAGAACGAGCTGGGTCTTCAGGCCACTCCGGGCCCCGGGGACAGGGCCAGTCTGGTGGGAGGAGGTGTGGACTACGGCCCGCGGAGAATGTCCAAAGCCAAATCCACCCTGGGCTATCCTACATTACCACACATAGCAAACCCATCAAACAAGACCCCACCGGGCCCCATCCAGCCCTCCAGACCCACCAGTGCCGCCTCCTCTGTGGGCTACTCTAAAAAGATCGGCCGCAAGTTCAGCGTCCAGCTGAGGAAAGGTACGGTTACACAAGTCTCATCATACTGACTCACAGCGCTTCAAGGACACATGACCTTTCATATGAGTACATTTACCTAGTTAATTGAAATATCCCACAATGTCAGATTTGGTAGAGCGCTGATGGGTCAGGCCAGATGCAATGTGTAGACTTTTACAAATCATCATTGTAATTAATATAAATGTGGGAAAATGTGTCTTACCGCTACAGTAGTCGAAAGCAACATTTAATTAAACAAAATATTAGACAAACAAACAAAGGCCAAGTAAAACATTTGTTTTTCTCTGAAAAACAAGTATTAATATATATTTTTTTAAATAAATAAATAAATGTAAATAAATAAATAAATAAAACGTGTGTGTAATTTTGTTTGTCTGGAAAAGAAGTTAAATGCATGGTCCAGTATTATTTCAGTATTGTTTATGTATTATTACAGTATTAATATTTTTATATTTTGTAAAATTTTATAATTATTATTATTATTATTATTATTAAGCATTATTTCTGGCATTATATACAGCATTATTAGTTATTAGTTTACTAGTTTAGATTAGTTTAGTTAACAACAACTACAAAAACACTGATATGGCCAATAGAATGTTGAACCCACACTCATACATGTGTTGAACTTTTCATTTCAAACCATTGACTTTAATAATGATCAAATTGTAACAATTTTAGAAGCGCACAATTCTCTAGAATGCCATTATATGACATCACATTAAGATCTGTTTGAACTGAAATCACCAAAGCCTTAAATTAGACCCTGATGTCAAATGCTTTTGGCCACTGAATATGCAAGAAATGCACTCATACAGCATGCATGCATTTATTTATTTGTTTGTTTGTTTTCCTCTGAAGTTGCCTGTATTTTCTGCTGTTTTAATAGCTGATGATATCTGTGCGAACGGCGGTGTATCTTTTCTGCTGTAGTGACTAGCATTGTGTAACTAATGCAGTTAGTACTTGAAAGAACTCTATCTGCTATTGTCAGAAAGTGCGGATGCAGCTTCTTCTCAGACTCACGTACGGCTCCAAATCCCATTCGTTCTGCACGGCAGCCACGTCTCAGCATTTCACACCGCGGGACAACTGGAAATGTCTATCAGAGATACCACAAACAGACACAAACGCATGCATGTTTATGCATAAACCAAGACATCGGAGGAATATCTATAACCGCGTATGCAGCAGCGCCTCTGATCTCGACTAGCGGCGGCTTTTGAAAGAAAACGCTGGAACGTCAAGCCACGAAACTTTGTGCTTCTCTGATGCTGTTCTCCCTCCCTCTTTGTCACCCTGTCCTGGTTTCAGAGATGACGTAATCACACGCTCTGGCTTGTTTAAATGAAAGAGCAAAAAGAAGTTTCTTTGTCAACGAGCTTGTCACATTGGCATCTATTAGGTTGACGCAGCAGGAGAGCGAGCGGTAAAGACACAGTTAAATCCTGACAACAAATGGGCCGGGCTTCAGCGCGGTGTGAAATATGGAGCGGGTTGGGGAGGGCTAGCCTTTAATTGAAAAGACAAGCGCGGGGGAAAGAGGGAGTTTTTAGCCGTCGCATGCTGGAGTGTCTGTTAGGTGTTACTTAAGAGCATGATGTGTGTTTGTGGCCTTTTTGGGCTGTGATATTTCTAGAAGAGAATACAACTGACTGTTGTATACAATACAATCTTAGTTTAGTGAAAAAGAAGTACACTTTGTCATAGTTTTCAAAAACAGTACTTATTAGAGAAATAGTATACTTTAAATGAATATACTTAAGTGTCAACTGAATGTAGTGTTTTCAGACACTTGTCTGAAAATGTATTATAGTTTATATCTCAATTAAATGTAATAATGGCTTATGTTTTAAGTGTTTTTTGATGCACTTAAATAGTACATGTTTATATGTTATTTCATAATTCTGCTGTCTTTGAAATATGGTTAACGTGCACTGACAAGCATTTATGGTAAACTATACTTTAATGGCATTTCTATACTTGTGTGCCATGTATTTAAATGTATTTGTAATCACACATTTTGTAATGATTAGGTTGCGGTTTAGTACAGTTAAAATATATTTACTTTAAATGTAATAACATAAACTGCAGTTAAAATTAAAATCACCTATTTACATGTGCTTTAGTATGTTAGTCAACACATCAAAAACAGTGTACAGCTTTGAAGCACAATAAAAGGATACAAACTCTTCTGTAGTTCAAGGGTTTGTGGGTAATATTACCTATGAAAGCATGCATATATATAATTAATTAATTAATAATTAATAATAATTTATGCATTTAGCAGACGCTTTTATCCAAAGCGACTTACAGTGCATTCAGGCTATACTTTTTTTTACCAGTATGTGTGTTCCTTTTGCGCTGCTAACGCAATGCTCTACCACTGAGAATAGAACAGAATAGAATAGAATAGAATAGGTGTACTATTCTATATATGCAGAGATTTACCAGACACTACATCATCTGAACGTATCTGGCATACTGTTTTCAATGTAAACCTCATAGTATTCAGAAAAAAACACTTATTCTAATCTTGTTTACTATGTAGGGTGGGTAGTATGTAAATTGGAACACAGCCCTGACTAGCAGGCCTCTCTAGAAAACACTAGCGCATGCAGGAGCCCTGAATCCAAACACTCTTCTCTATCAGTCCATCTTCTGTGATTGGCAGAGATCGAGAGAGAGACAGGGAATGAACAAGCAGCAGATGTTGAGCGCTGCGGTTCTGGCACACGTGCTGGACTGAGGGAAGAGCGTGTGTTACAGGCTAAATGCAGCAGATCCTTCAGCGTTTACCAGCACACGCTCTGACAAACACCGAAGGCTTGCTCTCTGCCCAGGACGCTCTCTGAGTTTTGGAAATATTGACCCTCGTCGAGCCTGTTCAGTCCGTCAGAGCTCTCTCAGATTGCCTTCAGTTCGTCGGTGCCAGCTGAGAGATTTATTTGCTCTGGGCACTTTACCACCAACAAATAAAAAAAACCTTCTAGATTTATGAAAACCAATGTTGTCTTTATATCAAATTCAAGTTTGATTCAGTGACAGGTGCACTGCTGAAATAAATTAATGCATCTAATGCTGTTTATACTCAAGGTTCATTCTGCTGAAGTGACTGTAGCGCTGAATAGCTCAAACGTTGTGCTTTTATGGGCTTTTTTAAACACATCAGTCAAAATGTAATGTAAAAAAAATGTCATTTTATGCCTCTTACGCTTTTTTGGGGGGGGAGTTCTATCCCCTGCTTTTTCCAATTCTTTTCTCGCTGAATTTAAAGGTGGCATATCATGAAAATCTGACTTTTCCAGGTTTTAAGTGCTATAATCAGGTCCCCGGTGCATCTACCAACCAAGGAAACGTGAACAAGATTAACCCAGTAACTTTGTTTTTGTAAGCCTTTTTCTGCAAGCGTCTGAGAAAACAAGCGCTTCTGATTTCGCTCCCCTGGTGATGAGGCAAAGGGATCTCATTATAATATTACCGCCACATAATCTGTAAACTTGCACTCAAGGCACCGTCATTTTGATTTCACAAGCAACAACGGTGTAGCAGCTCTAATGCCATGGCGAAAGTTTGAGCAAAACATGCTAACTGTTCTGTGTTTGGCTGCACAGATGAGCACAGAACACTGTTTACAGTCCCAGCCTCAGAGGAGACGACAGAGCAGTGCATTTATTGATTTATTTACTGTATATTGCTGCTGCCACACAGATCTAAAATAAACATGCGATTTATTTCCCAGCTGCTTACCTTCACAAACATAACCGACTGTTTTTGCAACACGTGTGTTTTTAACGTAAACTTGTGTGTGAATGAGAACTTAGTTTAGTACTCACATGCTGTGACAGCCGCTTTCTGTCCATGTGCTTCAGATGTGTGCGCTCAGAAAACCGTATATCAGAAGTTTAAACTCATATGGTTTAAAACGCATGATT